ATATATCCAGAGATGGTGCGAAAACTATGTTCATTATTTGAAGTAATCATAACAACAAATTCCAGTTTTTGTCTCCTGCAGGAATATTGTCACCAAACAACAATGGGATGTTTCAAACAGGACACAGCATCTGAATATAATTGTAATGTAATAATGTAATATAATATAATGCCCTCTCCGAAATAATCTTTGTTGGACTTTTTTATTTGTTCTAAAGATCCATAATCAAAACATAAATCCTGGAAAGCAAGTCAGGTTCTGACATGACGAGTTGTATGAGATATTCAAAAAAGCAATTTGATGTCGTACTAAGCTACACCCTCAAGAATATCATGCAATAAATCAAATGAGTAGTTATTACAAACTGCATATACTTAAGTAAATTTATTGTGGATTTTTTTTCCAACCCTTATAAAGCCTTCAATTGTGGGTTTTCTTAGAGAGACTGGCAATGCATTTCAAACACATCTTTTTCAGGAAGGATCATCCTCACTGTGTACCTTTTTGATGATCATTCTTCTAAATCAAACAAAGGTGACAGAAATGACTGCTACTGAATGACTAATTAAAACCAAGAACTGTGTGCATTCATAGATTATCTCCAGTGATCTGTGAGGTTGTACCATATACCTGCTCCTCAAATGGAAGACCTAGCCCTTGACTCTCCAGTGTTTTTATACCATTGATCAACGTTTCCAGTGTAACATCAAAACCGTACTTGTGCAGAGTTTGCATGTGAAAAAGTGATACCAAATGAATGCTATTCAAAACCAAAATAAATTTGGGGGGCAAGTTTCTTATAAAGACAGCCAATTTTGGAAATTCTACATTTGGAGCCAAGGGGATTGGCTGTTTCAAAGTCATCATAGCATAGCTGAATTTGTAATGCTTGTCTTTTGGCTGAAAACAAAGAGTGAGTTTTAAAATAACTTCCATCAGATAAGTCAGTGTAAGTACTAGGTTCTGGTCTACACTCATTTAAGAGCACATAAATGTCTGGATTTCTGCACACTAACCTCAGTGTTTCTAAAATTGGTCCATATATAAAAGTATCACTTACAGTACTTGATCATAAGTACTGGATTTTACCTGTTGCCATATCTCACTCCCAGTGTTATTTCAGCTGGGTGCTCAACTCCCCATTTTGGTTGAAGTATTTATTTAGTTTCCATTCTGCATTCAGATTTGTGAAAATATTTTAAAATTTGTCAAAAGATTGATTTATCCCAGATATGCTGGGATCAGTTACAAGTAAAGCAGAAATGGCAGTATGCTTTGCTTGTGAGTAAATTTCACTTGTTAGTTCCTCCAAGTATCCTACAATTGAGGAAACCAAACTATTGGAAATCCCACTCCCCTGTAATTTGGCCACAATCGATGCACACATTGCACACATGACCACTGATAAGGTGCTTTCGGAAACCTGCGTATGTCAAGAACTGAAACCTACAGCCTTGCTGAGAACAAAACAATTTTAATTTGGGCCCAGGATATTAACCATGTTCAACTCTTAAATGTGAAATCAACTGCTGATTGTTGGGATACAGTTTCTGACAAATGAAACAAGTCAGCATAGTTTTAACTTCTCACTCCCTGAGTGAGAGCGATAGTGGCTGGTTAAGCAGTCTGGCTCTCAAATCTTAAATCTGGGTGACTCTCTCATTTTGCCCATATTAATGTTACACAATACACTGTTGTCTGCAGGAATGTGTAAAAATTTTCCAACAAAGCATCATAAGACATATTGAACACAAAATGTGTTTTGAAAAGTTCATCAAATGCCCCAAGGGAGTGGTTTGCATTGTATTGGATGAGATGCTTAGCTATGGTGATATGGACACTGTCAGACTTCCTCTTCTGATGGTCAACAGCGCAGTGGTATGGTTGCCAACCCTGCTGATTACGGAGATGTTCCCCCAAACTGCAGCACGACTAGGCTTAAGATAAGGAAACTCAACATTAGACATGAGAATAACTTGCAGCCAGAGTAAAATATTTTATGTTATTATATATATATATATGGCTACAAAGGTGACATAAATTATTTTAACCACCTTAATGATATGATTACCTTATGAAAGAGTACAAGTCTCCCAATTGCCTTGCATGCACTATTTGCACTAATTTTTGGAGACTTTTGTTCCCCTGGAGATGGTGGAAGTAGATGTACCAGCAACAGCAAGGAAGCCATTTCTTGGTCGTAGGCTGAGGACAATGAGTGACAGGATTAACTGAAAACTCTTGTTCATATTTATGCCAAAAATCAGATTAATCTTTCAGCAATTCACTGAACAAACAAATAACATTGAAGGAAAAAAAACTGTCTCACAGGTGTTCTTATTTCCTAATATTAATCATATGATCGCAAAAATCATGAATGAAACAGCTGTACCTGAAATGATGGCAAATGCTTCAAAACAAGAAAAAGAAACAACTTACTTGTTGAGTCATCAAGATCACTTCCTGGAGGACTTTCTGCCAAATGCACCAAGTGATGCATCTCTAGTGTTGAAGTGAGCTGCTTAGCTCATCGTCCCATTTCTGAAACAGTCTCGAGGATGTCTCGTCATCAAACAGGTAAATGAAATCTTGTTACACCTTTGGGAGAGAAGATATTAAACAACACAAATACTTTGAAATGTCAAGCTATTTCAAACATCTCATTTCAAACTCACTAGTCCTTTACTATACAGGAATCTTGGGAAGATAGAGAGGATTTCAGCACTTCTGCCTGTCTCATTAACAAGCTTTTGAAATGCCTCTCTCATCTTCTAGAAAATCAGGCAATTTTCTGTAGTATGATTGAGCAAAGATATTACCTCTTGGCAAGCATCCCCATCAAGCTGCCTGTCAACATTAACAGTCCTTTGGAAATTTGGGCCTCCTGGAAAAAGGTCTACAGAGCTATTCTGTGGCACCGCAGATCTTCGGCAAATTTTTCTTTGAACTGTTTTCAGACGCCAAGAAAGGTATCCTGTGCTGCTTGCAGCATCATAGAAGTGTTCCTTAAATTAAGAAAGGTT